CGCCGCCGCGATCCCGCGCGTTCGCGCAATCGTCGGGGGCGCCTAACGTGCGCCAGCTTTTGCACGCGGAGTTTTGATTTTTATATTAAATTACCAGTTTGCCCTTCAGCCACAGTCCTCCAGCTTTTATAAAAAGACTGGACCTCCGGGTTGTGCAATTTAATAAATAAATAAAAAGCCTCTAAAACTTTCCTTCTCTTGCGAGCAAAGGTGGAATTCTTCGGTTTTCTTTTTTTACGGCGATATGAAAGAGCTTCAGATCTAGGTAAGATTTCGTTCCCATATTTTTTCCAATTTAAGATTAGTCGAGGTTTTAGCTTATCAGAATAAACTCGAAAGATTCTAGCTCGTAAATTTTTTTTTTGGCCCCCCCCACCCCCTAATTTAATCGGATTTTTTATACGTTGTTAAAATTCATCTTTGCAGCGGGGATTTGCGATCCCTGATATCTACTGCGAAAGACGATGGGAGCGTTGTGATTGAAATGGATTCGACGAGGAGCTGGTTTAAGAAATTTCAAAAGAGTAAAGATGCGCTGAAACCTAGAGGCAAGAAGAAGAACAAGGAAATGGAGGATGCTGCGAGCGGACAGAAGCCGCCACTCGATGAGGCCGTGCCTTCGGAGATCACGAAGCAGAGGGTTGCGGCCGCGAAGCAGTACATTGAGAACCATTATAAGATGCAGATGAAGAGCTTGCAAGAGAGAAAAGAGAGGTATATACGATGCCTCACAATAAAGACTAACATTGTGGGGTTGTTCTAGGGTTCATTTTCTCTCTTATATTGCGCTTAGATTTAGATGGTATAACCTAGAGACACACGCGTGCTATCTCAATGTTTCATTTGGAGGGGCTATTTTTACCTGTGCCGGTGACTAGAGATGCACCTCACAAATTCTAACTGAAATTTGGTCACCTCACAAATTCTAACTGAAATTTGGTCACCTCACAAATTCTAACTGAAATTTGGTCAAGCATCTATGCAGAAGGAGCAAATTTTTTCGTCAAATGAAGTAGTAGTGTTATTATCTTATGAGTAATTTTATGAAATCAATGTGTAACGAGTAATGACGAAAAAATAAGCTTTATATGCAGGTTTACTTCTCTGACAGTTTTCTTCTCTTATGTTGTGTTTAGGCGGTTTAACCTAGAGAGGAAGCTTGCTGATGCTGATGTTTCCGTAGAAGAGCATAGCAACCTCATAAAGAACTTTGAGAAAAAAGAAACTGAATACATGCGGATCCAGAGACATAAAATGGGAGTTGATGATTTCGAATTGTTGACCATAATAGGCAGGGGTGCATTTGGAGAGGTTAGCGTCAACAGTTGTTGTGATAACTTAGGCTATGTTACTTATTTCATTTGATGCAAGATATTATTAGTCACATTATTTAGTCTGCATCTGTAATCTTGTAATACCCAGTTACCCACAATAAATGTCAATTTGAAAACAGGAAGTTGAAATTGCAGTTGCATCCCTTGATGAGAGTGTAATGCCACAAGAATAGCATCTAATAGAGCTGTACAATCCTAATAACAAGTTCAATCCTTCACACTACACTTATCATTTGGTTAAGAACAAAAGTTAGAGAGAAAGAAAATATAAACTGATTCCCAAAAGGACTCACACGATGCACAAAGTCAAGCTTGAATTATCATTTCCAACTCGCACAGTGGAGACTCCATTGTACGGACCTTACAATGTACTCTCGTGTACGGTCAAGTTGACACTTCACGAGAGTAACCCCATGTTGGGGATGTTTTTTCTTTTTCTAATTCTCTAATAGCCCTATTTTTTTCGTAGTCCATTCTTTTTTTACTAGTCTTATAATCATGGTAAGAATTAATTTCTTTATCAATTCTGTTTCTGTGCTAAAGCAAATTTATTTACAAACCTGACTATCTTGAGCATTTTCTGCTTTGCAGGTGAGACTCTGTAGAGAGAAAACCACAGGGCATATTTATGCAATGAAGAAGCTCAAAAAATCTGAAATGCTACGTAGAGGCCAGGTGTGTCCGGCACGTTTCCAATTTTTATAGCTATTTTACCAGAACAATAAATAAACTCTTATCAGATTGAGGACTCAGATGAAGTTGATTATTCAGCATGTTTCCACCAAATGATCCATGTTCATATAAGAAATTTATAAATGACTAGGCATTACGACATATAATTTTAATATTTAAGAGACATAACATTAAAAAAGTTTCATGTTGGAATTTTCATTGAATACAATACATGACATCTTGTACAACGGAATGTGGGAAATTAGAAATTTCAGAACATAAAACTGGCCAACAAATGGTTCTGGTCTAGCGTCACCAGTAACTCAGAAATTAGTCTATTGCATCTTTTACTAATTTGTTGTTTCTGTTTGTATGACTTAGGTTGAGCATGTAAAAGCTGAACGAAATCTTCTTGCAGAAGTAGATAGTGGTTGCATTGTCAAACTTTACTGCTCTTTCCAAGATGAAGAGTTTTTATATCTCATAATGGAGTATCTTCCTGGTGGAGATATGATGACTTTACTCATGCGCAAGGAGACATTGACTGAAGATGAAGCCAGATTTTATGTTGGACAAACAGTATTAGCAATTGAATCCATTCATAAACACAACTATATTCATAGGTATGTGTACTGTGTGGGATTTTCTTTTTGTGTGTTTTCATGGTAATCCAGTATTATTGAATTAATTCTCTTTTATTGCTAGGGATATTAAACCCGACAACTTGTTACTAGATAGAAATGGACATATGAAGCTCTCAGATTTTGGGTTATGCAAACCCTTAGATTGTAGTATTTTCCCAAATCTCATTGAGACAGAGTTAGCAACGGGAGGGGCTATGAAGCCTCCACTGGATGGCAGTAAGCATTTGAATACCTCCACAGCGCCAAGGCGTACACAACAGGAGCAATTATTAAACTGGAAAAAGAATAGAAGAATGTTGGTAAGTAAATTCCAATAATATATTTATTTTTCCGCACCAGTAGACGATTTCTGTTCTTAAGCACAGGATTCACGATTAATAGGAGCCTTATTACCAGCCAAGGAAAACTTTTATATTGACAAACTCCCTTGTAAATTGTAATTCTCAAAAATGTGGGACACAATCCTTCTTTGGTAGTTATGGGTCTTCAAATTTGGTGACGTGAATTTGTTATCTTGTCAGGATATGCTTGCACCTAAATGGCATTTGTTTACCAGTATGATTGTGAATGCAGGCTTATTCGACTGTTGGTACCCCTGATTACATTGCTCCAGAAGTTCTGTTGAAGAGAGGATATGGAATGGAGTGCGACTGGTACATTGAGGTGCTAGTTCATTGAAATCCTCTTATATTATATTGATGACCTTTTGGCATGTACTTTTTTCAGGTGGTCACTTGGAGCGATCATGTTTGAAATGATTTTGGGCTATCCACCATTTTATTCTGATGAGCCAATGTCAACATGTAGAAAGGTACCCATGTAGTGCGCATATGTTCTTAGTTATTTGCTAATTATTATTATTATTATTTTGCTTTAAGTACCAGCTTGCAAAAGGCTGGCAGGCAGAGTAAATAAATACTTAGCTTATACCATGCAGATTGTGAATTGGAGAACCCACTTAAAATTTCCTCCTGATGCAAAGATCTCAACTGAAGCAAAAGATCTAATCTGCAAGTTGTTGTGCAACGTAGAACACCGACTTGGAACGAAAGGGGCACATGAAATAAAGGTATATTCTTGTTTGTAAGTTAAAATATTACATTGAATTGGCTTACCACTGTGGAACACGGTGATGAAATCTCTGCCAACTTCAGGCACATCCCTGGTTTAGAGGCATTCAGTGGGATAGGTTATACCAGGTGGATGCTGCTTTCGTACCAGAGGTTAAAAATGAATTGGATACTCAGAACTTTGAGAAATTCGAGGAGGTAAGGAATTATTCTACAATAGGCAGTTATTTTTTCCGATAATGCAGTGTTTTCTCTTTATAATGAGAAAGTCTTCCCTGGCAAAACAAAAGTTATTGTAGGTTTCATATATCTTTCTGGTCGACACATGCTCTATTTCTTCAATTTCCTTGCATTCCTATGCAAATATGCTTTAATGTAACTCCCTAACTTTTCAAGGGCTTTCTTGGCTACATTCTTGCCCCCAGGGATTTTGTTTCTTCAGATTATAAAGTTTTGATCTCCTGACAGTTAAAAATTATTTTATTCTTTCTCGAGTAATTTAGATTTTCAGTATATCACGTAAAAAATTTATTTTATACTTAAAGACTTTTTTGGCAACTGGCATAAGAATTTAAAGATCTAAATGTTTGTTACTTAATACTTTTCTTTTCTGCAGTCTGCAACTCCTATGCAATCATCTTCAAAATCTGGCCCCTGGAGGAAGGTATTGCTATATTCCTTGTTTTGTGATAGACATGTCAAAATATCATTTCCAAGCTTTTAGATAGAGATCATATCTACAGTCCTTTGACTTGTATGAGTTCATTGAACTCAAAATTTGAGATAATATTGATCAATTGAAAACAAAGTCAGTGAGTTATTTTACTTTCAGATCTTAGGAGTTGAGATGCGTTATTGTTATGCTCCCGTTTCGATTGATAATGAGATCATACTCAAAATTTGAGATAATATTTATCAATTGAAAACAAAATCAGTGAGTTATTTACTTTCAGATCTTAAGAGTTGAGACGTGTCATTGTTATGCTTCTGTTTCGATTGATAACGAGATCATGCTTGCCTTAGGCAAGGGAGGTTAAATGGGCACATTTATGAATACCTGTACACAGTATAATATGACATGTATTGTACGCAATTTTTATTGTCATCCCATTTTCTTCATATTGCTATTTAGTATTGTTGATGTCAGTTATCAAACATGGGGTTTGTTTGTGGATTATGAAAGGTATTAGGGTCCTCAAGCTTCCTTAGACGACTAATTCTTGAACAAGAAGTCCTATCCTGCACATGAAGAACTCATGAGAGGTCATAGTTGGGATCTCCGGTGGTTCCTCCGACGGTCAAATCTGTTTAGAGCTTGAATAGAGAAGTAAGAGTTAAGTGTTTGGTTTTTTAGCAAGAGAATTGCTTACCCTAGGCAGTAGACATCAGTTTCCTTTTATAGCAGATCGAAAGGGTAGGTATGTAACTTCGGCTGAGTCAAGCTGGCAGCTCAATCATAATCTGCTTTACATGTGTCGGCCTCAGAGGGGGTGAGTCACCCATGCGTTTAATGTGAGAGTGACAGAATGTGCAAAGTGCTGACGAGGTCCAATAAGTCACAAAGACTTTCGGGCTGGAAGAATGATAACTCTGATCATGCATTTAAGGTTATGATAATTGACTGTCGACGGGGCCTCGACGATACACCGTTTTTAGACTCATCTCATTGGAAGTTGATAAACACTGCCTTTTTAGTCGGCCTCACAAGTTGTTGGCCTGGAAGGGCTGAGTGCCGAGACCCAGTGGGGTCGACCGGAATGGTAGGTCGAGTGAGGATGCTTATCGTCTTGATCTTGCAGGTAGGTCGACAAGTACCATCTTTTTAGTCGACCTCGCAAGTTCTCGGCGTGGTTGGGTTGACTGCTGAAGTTGCTCGGGTTGTCCCTCTTCAAATATGGATGATTAGGCATAGAGTGGGACACGTGTCGGCCTCCCAATGAGGATTAACACTTAGCTATTTGCATAATGATACAACAAGTACTATCTGTTTTTACACATCATTATCAATTAAATATGATCGAATTGTGAGACAACTCTTTTAGCAAATGAGCCTTTTAAAGTATTAAAATTATCAAATCAGGCGTCTTGAATAATTGATCAAAATTTTCAATTAGGAACCCGAACTACTAGCAAATAAGCCTTTTCTTAGAATTAAGAACCAAGTCTGCTATCACATAAAGCCTCTTGAAAATTTTCTGCTGCAGTTCCACTCACAGCATCTTAGATCCATTTCTAACCCAAGCTAGATGCACGTGCATCTCTTTCTTCAGGTAGAGAAGATTTAGACAAATAGTCTCTGTCTTTGAAATAGCACTGACATTATACCATTCGTGTAAACTATAATCAGTAGTTTGAGTTGTGGTTTCCCCCTATTTGATATTGTTGTATGGATTCTGTAGTTTGCTTACAACAGAAGCAATGTGCTTAATGTTCCCGGAAACAAATAGTTTTAGTGTTACTTTTTACTTGGTTCTCGAAGAGAAAATAAGTCTAATCTTACTTATTTCTTCTTTGCAGATGCTTTCATCGAAGGATGTGAATTTTGTTGGTTACACTTACAAGAACTTTGAAATTGTGAATGAACATCATGTTCCGGGCATAGGTAATTTCTCTTTATCACATCTTCGTGCATGTTACATGCACAGGCACACACTGCTAACTATTGTAACTGATTTTGTGCTTCAGCCGAATTGAAGAAGAAGAGCAACAAGCCAAAGAGGCCATCAATCAAGACTTTATTTGGTAATTTCTCGATTTAATTGCTAATTCTTGAAAGCTTTAGATTAGAAACTAACTTTATTTGGTAATTTCTCGATTTAATTGCTAATTCTTGAAAGCTTTAGATTAGAAACTAATCCTGGTACATGAGTTTACAGAAACAGAAACTATCACAGAGAAGAAACCGGTCCTAGGAAGCTTTCTGAACCTTCTACCAACACAATTGGAGGTCCCCGAAAGCTCTCAGGAGTCATTTGAGGATTCCAACAAATCTTCATCATACCAACCTCTAACCCAACGCAGATAATTAACGAGTTCCACTTGTAAATTTTCGTGATTCGCAGCCAAAGCAAAAGTGAGCAGGGAGATAAAATTTTGAAGAAATGATTTGCTTTTGCCGGAAGATAATTTACCTGTTTTGACCTGACAGAGTGCTTTGGCACAAATGGACTCCATCCAATCTGCTGTAAATTTCATCCCACAAATTGTATTCTTTTGGTATTTGCGTGATGAATTAAATGAAGTTGTAAATATTAGATGTGCTTTGTACATGGAAATGATTGTAACTTGTGGTTAATACAGTTGATTATACTGTTGCGGACAGACCGTATCTCATTGTTTCTTCTTTACGATGCAGAATCATCGTGTTGTGGAATAAATTTTTTTTCTCTCTTCTGCCTCAGTATACCACTGAAATTACGATGTAGAATCATTGTGTTGTGGAACAAATTCTTTTTCCCTCTCCTGTCTGAGTATACCACTGAAGTTTAACTTGCTGAAAGTTCCGTAGAGCGAAATTTTATGTCAAGAGCATCAGAAAATTGTGAGAAAAGATACTTGAACATGGATGCGGATCTTTTTTCCACTGCGGATGGCACAGCTCCGCGACCTCTTTTTTTTCCCCTCGCTTGAGCAAAAGGATTCTTAGTCCATATTATTGTGAGAAAGAAAAAAGCATACAAATACTGTTTATGTTAGGGATAACTGATACCAAGAGGCAAGAGGTATTACATAAAACCAAAAAAAATTATACTTTCTTTACTCATAAATGTTTATTATTTAATGTACAATTAAGATTTATCTTGACTAAGGAGATAATTCAGGAATGTAGGATGTTAATCATATTAGAAAGTAATCAATCATCAAATTATATGTGGAAGGATCTTAACCACCTATCAATCCTATAACATCTGCAAATGGTCAAGAGAATGTGAAGGCAACAAATGCCTATCAAAATTAATACACTTGTACATAATTCATTAATAACTCAAGATCACTTGTTAAAGTTTGATAACATACAACAGGGTATCAGTGCACAAAGTGCTCTAATTACAGTCACAACGTATTTTTCTTATGCAATACCTCCCAACTCATTATGAAAATCCTCCATCTCCGGCGCCACGTTCTGCTTTCTTTCATTTCAACGTCCCTTTATGCTTACCCTTCAACAAATCAAGGACAAGGCTATAATTTCCTTTTTAAAAATCAGCCAACCAAATTTAATTAAGCAACACAAGCATCATTGTCATCATATGACAATTGACCTTCACCGTCATCAACCATAAAAGCTCTCACCCCACTCTTCTGATCAATCCAACTATACCCTTTATCCTTCACAACCCCACAATCACTCATCAAACGTCTAACCTCTGAAGCTTCTTTAAACTTCCCCAAGCCTGCATATATGTTAGACAAAAGCACATAAGATGCTGAATTCTTTGGATCAATTCTAAACAAAACCTCTGCTGCTCTTCTCCCCAGTCTCTCATCCCCATGAACTGCACAAGAACTAAGCAAAACCTCCCACACAATAGGATCATCCTTCCACTTCATCTTATCGACAAGCTCTTCAGCTTCTTCGAGCCTCCCAGCTCGGCCTAAAGAATCTATAACACAGGTGTAGTGATAAGCTAATGGCTCAATGCCATAATCTTTCTCCATTGATTCCAAGATCTTGATCCCTTCATCGACTAAGCCTCCATGGCTACAAGCAGTTAGAACAGAGATGAAGGTCACAGCATCTGGCTTCACTTTAGCTTTTAACAGTTGCTCGAATAAGGCGATTGCTCTCTCTCCGAGACCATTTTGGGCATACCCATGAATCATCTCATTCCAAGAAACAGTATTTCTTGTTGGCATGAAATCGAAGAACTTTTGGGCTTCGTCTACGTTACCACATTTGGAGTACATATCAATGAGAGAGCTCCCCGCGTATACATCTGCATCATAGCCACTTTTAGTGATTTGGGCATGTATCTGCCTTCCTTCCGATAACGAAGACAACCTTGCACATGAATTGATCACACTAGCATATGAGAACTCAGTTGGGGTCATGCCATCTTCTCGCATCAATTTGAAGAAAAAGAGAGCTTCTTTATTAAGAGAATGAAGCGCAAAGCCTGTGATCATTGAATTCCAACAGACAACATCCCTTTCGGGCATTCTATTAAAGATTTGTCGTGCTGATTCAATTTGCCCACACTTTGAGTACATGTCAACAAGACTACTAGCAACAAACTTGTCGGAGTGAAGCATGGACCTAATCGAGGCAGCATGGATCGCTTTTCCAAACCCTAAATTCCCTAATCCTGAGCAAGAGCTCACGATTACAGATAATGTGGTTCGATCAGGAGCAACACGCTGATATTGCATGGTTCTGAACAGCTCAATAGCCTTCTGATACCTTTCCTCTTGGCAGTAACTGGAAATTATAGCATTCCAAGAAATAACACTTGGTCTCGATATCTTACTAAATATTTTACGAGCAGTTTCAACATCACCAGACTTTGTGCAAGCACCGAGCAAACTGATATAAGTAACCTCATCAGGTTCGAATCCAGAGTCTTTCATCAATTCTATCATTTCCAAAGCTTTCTTGCCATCGCCTTTCTGCCCATAACCAGCGATCAATACATTCCAAGAAACAACATTGATTTCAGGTAGCGATTTGAAAATCTTTTCAGCATCATCCATTTCACCCGTCTTTGCAAACATGTCGATCAGTGAATTCCCCACGTGAGGATCTGCTTCAAAACCCTTCTTAAACACGAAGGCTTTAACCGAATGCCCTAGCAAGTTCTTATCTACATCATGACTAGGGTCTTCTTCATTTGCTCTAGCACAAGCGCCCAAAATGCTAGAAACTGCAACAGGATCAATAGGAATTCCCCTCCCATGCATCCTCACAAACAATCTCATTGCCTCCTCAACCGAACCACTCGACACTAACCCCCCCATCATGGCAGTAAATGACACCTCATTCGGGTTCGCCATAGAATCAAACAGCCTCAAAGCCTCCTCCACAAAGCCACACTTCATATACATCCCAATAAGCGCATTCTCCACAAACAAATTACTCTCAAGCCCAACCTTCACAATCAACCCGTGACACCTCCTCCCGTCTGTGACCACCTCCAAACCCCCACAAGCGCTCAAAACGCTGGCAAATGTGAAATGTGTTGGCACGAAACCTTCCAAAATCATCGTGTAATACATCTCCAACGCTTTTCTCTCGTGACCGTTTTTTGATAACAACCCAATCACAGTGTTCCAAGAAACGACATTTCTCTCGGGCATTCTATCGAACACCTTGAACGCATCATCCAAGTTTCGTGATTTCGATAACGCAGAGAGGATGGCGTTCCAAGAGAAGATGTTGGGGTTAGGGATTGAGTTGAAGAGGTTGAGGGCGTAGGTGTAGTTCTTGGACTGGGAGTAGAACTCGACGAGGCGGTTGGAGAGGAATGTGTCGAACGAGAGGAAGGATGATTTGAGGATGTGGGCATGGATGGATTTGGCGGGAAGGAGGAGGCTTCCGGCGATGCATTGGTGGAGGAGGTCGGAGAGTTGAGGAGGAGTGAGGCGGGGCATTTGGGGTTAATGATGTTCTTGCTTTTGGGCTTGGCATGGGGGATTTTGGCGGGAGAGGCTTCGGGGTTGAATGGGATTTTAGATAACCGCTGAGAAAATAGCTAATTAGGTGTTAAGAAATATTGTCTACAAAGTCAACTGAAAAAAAAAAGTAATAGGAAAAACATATAAATACGCGGTGTCTTTAGTAAATTCACATAAGTTTGCTTTTTTTCTTCTTATAGTGAAACGATCTAAATTTTCTCATACAATCTACATCTGGCTGCTAAAATTTTCTCATACAATCTACATCTGGCTGCTAAATCTCAATTAGCGTCACAATCCCATCTATGTTAATTGTAATATACAACATGCATTGTAAGGTAATTGTGAGGAAATCACCTTTTGTTTTTAACTTATACGTGAACCACCTTTAAAGTAGGTTATGGTTGACGTCAACCGCCTCCCAATTAAAATTTTAGCTAAAAATTAGGAATTATCTTAAGGTCTATATCCGACTTTTTTTATTAGTATTTAGGTCTTGTTAGGATACAATTTATGTACTTTAAACTTGAAAATTTTATTTTTTTCCAGGTTTTTAGTGAAAATTTAACTTGGAGATGGTTCATGTATAATTTACAAAATGTGGTTTTTGTAATACTACCATATTTTTAAGGTGGTTTCTAAGAGAAAAACCCTAAAAAATAAAGCATGGCGAAGTTAAGGGGCTGTTTGGTTCGTTTCCTTGATATAGAGAAATACAATTCCATGTAAAGAAACACAAGTTTTTTCGTTTCCTTGATATAGAGAAATACAATTCCATGTAAAGAAACACAAGTTTTGAGTTTTCCAAACTTTTTCAAGAAATAGATTGTTTTGCTTTTCCATGTAAAGAAACACAAGTTTTGAGTTTTCCAAACTTTTTCAAGAAATAGATTGTTTTGCTTTGGTTCACACATAAAAAATGGTGAAAAACCAATGTATTTATTTTTCTTATGTTTGGTTCGCATAGAAAAAAAAGTAAAACTTTTGTAAACAAAGCAGAGAAGGAAAAAAATCTGACGTGGCAGAGTTTTCATCAATTTCACTTGGTTAGGGAAGGAAATCGGAGAGGAAAAAAATCTTAGTTGGCGGCGATTCCAGCAGAGTTTTCCCTCTTTCATTCGAGCGAACCAAAACGGCACAAAGAAATGGACGGAAACAAAAAAGCTAACGTGGATGGCTAAAAATCTAACGTGGAGGGGTTTTCTGAGTTTTCCACCCCTTATAATAGCGAACCAAACAGCCCCTAAATGGAAAAATCGTGCTCTTTTATTTCTAGTGAACGAAACTAACGCTAAACATTTTTGTTAGCAATGAATTATTAATATTATTAATGATGTTATTATTATTTTGGTTAGAAAATGCATTTTTGTTCACTAAAAATAAAAAATACTACATAATAGAGAGACCTCTCAACACTGGGCCCCACTAAGAGATAAGCCCTAGGTAGCCCAAAAGCCCAACCCAACCCAACCCAACCCAACCCAACTCCCGACCCCTCCTCTATTTCATCTTCCCCCAAGTCAAGGCAACATTCTTCCCGAAATCTCCCTCCCCTGCCATGGAAACTTAGCCCCGCTTCTTCCCATAATGCCCCTCCTCCCCCGCCGCCTCCCCCATCTCCGCTTCAGCTTCATGGGCACTGTAAAGTGCTCCGCCGGCGGAACCCTAGCCCCAATTCCCCGGCAACTCCTCTGCCCACGACTCCTATCGACAAATTTGCGAAAACCCCCCTCTAGAACCGTTCTATTTGCGCTCAGGTCCAATGGAGTCCGCTCCCCTCGTCAGCTCTCGCTTACGACTACTAGTAGAGATGGTATTGACCTTAAAGTTGCAACCTTTTTTTTGCCTTTTGACTCATTTTCATGTAAGACATTTCTATTAAGTTCTCTAATTAGCTTAAGCTTGTAAAATGTCTGGTATCAAGTGTTATTGAGTTTATTAATACTAGTTTTTTTTCCTTCTATTATTTTTGAAGGTTATATTTCAGAAGCACGTCATTTTAAACTTTCTGAGTTACTTGTTTCCCATTATATTTAGTTGTTTGTATCTAGGACTTCAGAAGATCTATTTTTCTAAAAAAGTTTGTATGCATAATCAGATTTGGTGAAGCTCACCAAGATGAAATGCAATACTTATTCTTTGTGTTTCGCAAAATTTTGTGAAGTTCATCTTGCAGCACTGGATGCTGAAGTGGATATTGACAAGCGACTCAAACTCCTGCGAGAAAAACTGGAGGAACTTGGTTTCGAACATGACGATTGCAAGCCTGGACAATATTACCATAAGACATGCCCGAAGGTACTCCTTTACCGTTCTAATTTCTCTTTCAACCACTTGCACTATTATCAGGTCATACGCTCAATGTCTCTAGCTTAGTAGGCTATTTGCTCTGATAGGCAAACTAGTTTTTGGGTATTCAGGCTTCAAGCATGCCATTCTGTTATCGGTCATGATAAAGTCCTGCCTTTTGATGTTTCTTAGTGAAACTTAAACAAATTGATGTACTAAGAGGAGATTTTCACACATATCTGCTCTTCCATCTTCTTAAATGCCAATGACACTGAGTATCTCCCCCCCTGACAGCTGCATATGTCGAATAATATGTAGGAGTGTTAAAATATAATCAGATTAATTAATGACATGTAACGCCATTCGTTGGCAGGGGTTAAGATGCCCACCAGCGAAACACCTTCCAAACACACAAAAGATAATAGGCAAGCAGTAAGGGTGTTGGGTTCAAGGATAGATTTACCTTCTCTGGAAATATTCATGTACACCTTGCTATTTTGTGGTGAGCTTGGGGCAAATATTTTCACCTATTGGGAATTTAAACTGTATCACTACAATGCTAACCCTATGTCCTATGATAACTACACCTTAGTCCTTGCAACTAGACAAATGCCTAGAATAATAAAAGGGAGACATGCAGGTATCTTGTACTTGCCAAATTGCATAACTGCTACTCCAAGTTGAATAATGCGAACTGTCCCGTTGTGCAACGAGATCAAGCAATCATGCTTCTGACTTGTATAGGTTAGCATTCTTGATGCACACTGACACAAACAGATAGATATATGTTTCTGTGCATTAATGACTTCTGAAACTAAGGTAGTTGTCAGTATTCTCCTACATGTGTATGCAATTGAGCCGATTCCCTTCAGTGATACTTTGCCATTACGTTGCTCATATACTCATTTGATTATGGTGGTATGGCAGTGTAAAGGAGGCGAGTCAAAGGAGAAAAGCTTTTCCATTTTCATCCGAGAAGATGGGTGAGTCTGGTTTTAGCTCGCAAGGATTATCCTCATTTTAAAACAATCGTACAATGATGTAAATCATTTTGATGATGTAGAAGGGGAGCAATGTGGAGATGCTTCAGAGGAAAATGTGGTTGGAGTGGTTGTATACAGGTATCTTGGATTTAGATTTTAGACATGCATTTTGGATGCAATAGTTACTATCAACTAGAAGCATTGAGTTGTTTTGCACTTTGCCAATACGTATCATATATTTTGGGAGTGCTCAGGATGGCAAGATGCTCAATGTTGGCTCAAGTCAAACATTGAAAAGTAAGGGATACAGAGTACTCACAGAAGAGGACCTCCAGCTAGAGCCGCTGAGTGAAGAGGTAGTCATAGTTTTACTTTTTTGCATATCATTTATCCAGTTTATTGCTCAAGAAAATACAGATGGCCATTGTGCTTTAGGTGACTATTCTCACTATGTCTTTTTATTCTCTTTCAAGCTTATGTATGTGTACAGAACTAAAGATGTCCTGGTTATCTTGTGATATCATTTTAAAACTGGCCTGATCGTAATGCAGAAAGGTGACGAGAGTAAAGCTCCTATAAACTTAAGTGGATAGGAGTCCTTTGTTCACCAACTTTTTTAGCTATTGATTTTGTATTCAGTTTTGTGCTAGCATGTCATACAAATCAAGTCGCAAATATCAAAGATAGCCTTGATGTGTAGCACAAATCTGAAAGCATAATGAAGGGATAAAAAAGTTGGTGGACAGGTGCTCATATCCACTTAAGTTTTCTATAGGTGATTGACATGGGTAGTCACTGAAAGCCAGTTGTTGACTGTAGCCCAACAGTTTTCCGTCTGTTTATTAGAAGAAAAATGGAGCTAAACGTACGAGCATCAGACTACAGTACTTGTGCTACTACTAGTTCATACAGTTCATTACTGAGTTTGTTATTGATTCTTTCTATCTTAATTTTCTTCAGGTCCTTGCATATTTAAAGGAGAGAATGATATCAGCTGAAACACTTCGAAGAAATGGTGTCATGCAACGTCGCTGGCACAATCAGGTTATTCTTTTGTTTCTTTTTTTTTTAACTATAGTGTTGGAGAACTTGTATATATCAATACCAACAGTATCTGACAGCACAATTGCATCTACAGACAGTTATTGCTTTTCCTTACAGAAGGAATGGAACACTTGTCAGCTGCAAGTACCGGGGCAGTGACAAAAAGTTCTGGCAGGTATATGCTGCATTGATTCCTATAGTTTTACAAACAAATTTATTTAATGCGAGCTCGTATTCTGTTGCTATTTGTTATTTATATTTTGCCTTATGACTTTTTACATTATGTTTTATTTTTGTCAGGAATCTGACACGGAAAGGATATTTTATGGGCTTGATGACATAAGAAATGCTACTGATATCATCATAGTAATATTCCATCCATCCATTTTAAAGTGTATCATGTTTGTTGGTTTACATGCTATAGTGCTACAATTCTTTTTTCCTTTGATGCTTATGTGTTAGTATATAGGTGGAAGGTGAAATGGATAAGCTTGCCATGGAAGAAGCTGGATACCGTAATTGTGTTAGTGTTCCTGATGGAGCGCCTGGAAAGGTCTCCAAAGATGTACCAGATCAAGACAAGGTTCCAGATGATATTCTAGTCCATTTTGTGTTTGAAGCAAATTTTCGTAATTGTTTTGAGGCTTATTAACTTCCTATAACATGTCCTGTCTTTTTTTAGTTTTACGCTTGTTCCATTAATTATAATCTTATCACCTCCTCTAATTGGTGTATTTAGTAGCCTCTGATGCACATGGCCAAAGCATCTCATTCTCTCATTTAGGCATGGTTTGGTAGGGGGTATGAAGAGGGAAGGTGAGGTGAGGGGAGGTGCAAGGAAGTATATACATCTTGTCCTTCTTGTTTGTAGGAGGGGAGGAGAGAGAACACACATCACTTTGTAGTTCATTCTCTCTCTCTTCTTGAATCCCTCCAATTTGGAAGGATTCTTCTCCCTCTTCATTTCTAGTTGATTTTAGGTGAAATGGATAAGCTTGCCATGGAAGAAGCTGGATACCGTAATTGTGTTAGTGTTCCTGATGGAGCGCCTGGAAAGGTCTCCAAAGATGTACCAGATCAAGACAAGGTTCCAGATGATATTCTAGTCCATTTTGTGTTTGAAGCAAATTTTCGTAATTGTTTTGAGGCTTATTAACTTCCTATAACATGTCCTGTCTTTTTTTAGTTTTACGCTTGTTCCATTAATTATAATCTTATCACCTCCTCTAATTGGTGTATTTAGTAGCCTCTGATGCACATGGCCAAAGCATCTCATTCTCTCATTTAGGCATGGTTTGGTAGGGGGTATGAAGAGGGAAGGTGAGGTGAGGGGAGGTGCAAGGAAGTATATACATCTTGTCCTTCTTGTTTGTAGGAGGGGAGGAGAGAGAACACACATCACTTTGTAGTTCATTCTCTCTCTCTTCTTGAATCCCTCCAATTTGGAAGGATTCTTCTCCCTCTTCATTTCTAGTTGATTTTAAGTTGTCCCCTACTTTACCTCACCTCACCTTGCTCTACCTTCCCTTCTAAAAATTCTCTACAAAGGGCGCTTTAGTTTTTTGTCCCACCCTCTTTAACTTCCTTGTACTTTTGACTTTCCTGCCTTCATTATGTAGGGATTTTAAAGATATCGGCAACCTGCTCCAATGGTTCCACAAACTTCTAGTTTAGAAACCCTTCATAAAAATATCATGACTGTATATGAAGTTGCAGCCTGGGGGCAGCCTCATACTGACAGAGACTGCAATCTGAAAGGATAATTTGATAGAAGGAAGGGGTTCCAGTCATGCAATCTTCTTTTCCTAGTGGCTAATGGTATCAAATTAGACCAGAGCTCTAGACTGGAATTTCTATGTTTGTTACAAGTTGACATAAGCTAGCACTGATAAATCAACAGTATAATTTGAGATCACTTTCAGATTGTGTGGTGGTAATGGTGAAAATGAGCATCAGTATGGGTCTGTTGATGTTACTCCACCCTTTTTATCTTGTTGGTGCGCTGAAACCTGAGTTCTGACTGTTCATGCTCGTAATTTTTTTTCTGAAAATTTAATTATTCTATTTTGGCATTTTCTTCTCTTTTCCTCAGCTTGGATATCTTATTATTTTACAATTTTGTTTTGCTATTAAGCCTTGTGTTAATTGCTAAGTTGCTAACATTTCCTGAAATTCTCTGTAAAGCTAGGACACAAAGTTTCAGTATTTATGGAACTGCAAAGAGTATCTAAACAAGGTAATCATTCGCGATCAAATTAGTGTCACAAATTGTTCTCGCTGCCCCTGATGATATTTTGTTTAGTTATTAGCTGAATCAGTGATACATTGGATACTGTCAGGCATCTCGTATAATTCTAGCAACGGATGCTGATGCCCCTGGACAAGCTTTAGCGGAAGAACTAGCAAGACGCCTTGGTAAAGAAAGGTCCGCTACTTTATCCATCTCGTGTGATTGTCTCTGAGACGTGCTCCTCAATCCTTATTTGCTAAACTAATGAACTTCTGCATTTATTTAAAACCCAAACAGATGCTGGAGGGTCACTTGGCCAACAAAAACTGGTACTGGAGTTTGCAAGGATGCAAATGAGGTACTATCATGTATTTACTTCGTCTGTTTCTTTTGAAGGTCTAAATGTGGACGATGTTGAAAGCATGCTCAATCTGTGATCCTATGTTGTTCATTTTCCTGTATGATGATGCTGAGGATGGCAACTAGTCGAGCTTGGTTGGTTAAAATTCTGAACGGACTGATATATGTGTGAATTGCATTAGATCTGTTTTTTATATGCGTTGGGTAATTCTACCTGAAGTCAACCGGCCCAAATATTGGTAACTGAAATTGACCTGCATATAATTGGTCTATTCTACAGTGCTGCTCCAAACTGACAAAGCAGTGTTTATGTAGATCATAAAGTAATAATTCTTTTTTAGAAATTAACTTAATCAAGCAGCTCATGAGAGTCCCACACTAGCCATTCCCCATGTGCAGCCAACTTTTTTTTTGTTTGTATTTCAGTCAGCTTTGTTTCAGATAAAAATTGATGAATTTATCTACAAAGGTAAAGTTTTACGTAGAAAAAAAAAACTGCATTCAGTGCCACATCTCATGCACCAACATTCACTAACCATGTTGGCAAAAATGACTTGTGTATACTGTATACAAACAAGTCATAACAAAATATTGGCTTAGAATTGTGTTAATTCAGGTCGAAAGGTTCACAGCATTAGACTTGGAATGCATCTGTTTGTTAAATGGGTGGTCATCTCTCTATGACTTGATCCTACTAAGGCCAATCGAAGACCAACTATTTCAGGTTGGGGTTGAGTGTTGGTCCAAGTTGCCGGCCTAATTGTGGCTGGTGAGACCCGTTAACTTTCTGAGTGCTGGTTGATAACCTGTTTAGTGCTGCATTGCTGTCGATGGCTGAGATATTAAATAGACGGGACAGATAGTTTGCTTTTTCTTTAGCTAGCTAACTTTATAATACTGGTTGCTTGTTTATAGATCCTGAGAAATGTGGTTCTTCTTGGTTGGCTTTTTTTGCTTGGGAAATGTAGGTCATTCCCAATAGGAAATCTCTTAACTTATGGTTCTTCTTGGTTGGCTTTTTTTGCTTGGGAAATGTAGGTCATTCCCAATAGGAAATCTCTTAACTTAAAACACTTTTGCAGCCTGACAGACAATTTCAGTAATCAAGAGGAATTTAATCTGGATGCAGCGGAAGCGCTTTTTGTAGTTTTCACTTAAACTAACATATTGATAGACATATTTGTTGAACACTAAACGTACGATTCTTAGGGAGGTTCTGGGCTGAGATTACCAATCATTTACGTTTTTCTTGCACTTTGGGAAGCCAATATTAAGCATTGCTTAGTTTTAAAAGCACGTTGCTCCAGTAATTATGGATTTGCTTGACTTACTGTGTTAATCCAACTATCCTTTCTTGTTTTTCATCTCAGGTGCTTATGTATAAAGGAGCAGGTGCGCTGAGGGAAGTTATTGAGAATGCTGAGTTGTATCCCATACGAGGCCTCTTTAACTTCAGCAGTTTCTTCCATGACATCGATGATTATTACTATTGCAGAAATGGGTATGAGCGTGGTGTTTCCACTGGTTGGAGAGCTTTGAATGACTTGTACAATGTAAGGATGTCTTAGATTGAGTTGTTAACTGCCTTCTTTTGATGAGGAATAACAGTGGGTGCATTCTAGTCCCTTATTTTTATGAATGATCCAACAATGCTAGTTAGTCATACCCCTACTAGCGCACCAGCCTTCTAGCTAGTTAGTGATGCCCCTATTTATGCACCAGCCTTCCAGAACTTATGGAAACTCCTTGTTTGTACATCTTTATCTCGGAGGTCAATGCATCTCCGGAGGGTATAAAACAGTTTTGTTTCCTTTTTTTCAAATCTTTTTGTGGAGTTCCTGTGCTCTATGTGCAACATGTTTGGTGAGAAAAGCTTAAACATTGTTCTTGATGATAATGGAGAAGAAGCAACAAGATGATGCTAACCTCGAGGCATGTTCAAATCAATTTTCTTCTTGGATGTTATGCAAGTTTTACCACTATTGGTCTGAATGGTTTTATTTTTTTATTATTAATTTTTTTATTTTGTTTTGGAAGAG